AATATAATTATAATTATTAATAAATAAGTCTATAATAAATAGCTATTCTTAAATAAAATTATAATAATAATAAATATTATTATTTCTTTACTAGATCTATAAGATTTATATAATAAAGAGGTAAAAGAAAAAAAAACTATTAAATAATACTAGAAAAAGTTCAAGATATTCTATTATTAAATTAATAACTATATAGTAAATATAAATAATTTACTCGAGATTATTAAAGTATTTTATTTTCTTTCTATATTTTCATTATATATATTAAGCTAAAAAATAAGTTTAATATTAATATAATATTTAAACTCAAGTTAGTAACTAAATTAAATAATTTATTTCTTTTACTAATTTATTATTAGGCTTATAATAAATCTGTTTTTTTATTAAAAATAACTAATTTAATATTATTATAATACTACTATTTCAAGCCTATATAAATAGCTATCTAATAAAGTTTATTTATATATTAAAGAAGAAAACTAATTAAAATTTATTTAGTAAAATAGAAAATACTAATTAAAGTAATATTAGTAATAGCTCTAAATTAAATATTAATAATCTCTTTACCTCTAATTCTAATAATAATACTATTACTATCCTTAATAAAGGCCTTAAAAAAAGGCTAGCTATAATAATAATTATAGTATTAAAAAGAAAAATATTATTATAACTAATAATATAAATAATTACTTTATTATTAAGATTAATAAGCTTAGAAAGCTATTATAGCAGGCCTATAATACTATTAAGCTAAATAAGTTTAAAGAAATAATATAATAATATAAATATTTTATTATAAAAATATCTGCTTTTAAATTATATAAAATTAAAAATTAAAAAAATAAAATATTCTTATAATAGAGGTCTTTTAATAATACTATAAAGGAATTAATAATAAGCCCAAATTATATATTATATTTCTCTAGATTTTAAGCTCTAGCTAATTTCTTTTTTTTAATATAACTTTCCTATTTTAGAAGAATTTTCTTTTTATTTTCTATTCGATTTTTTATATTTTAGCCTATATATTTTATAATAATATAGTTCTTATTAATAGCTATATATTTATTAAGTTCTTTTTTATTATTAATCTAAAAAATATAAAAATAAAAGTAATAAAGATATATTAAAAGTTTTAATAATTCAAGTAATTAGTTTTTTATAAATTAATCTAAACCGGAAATAAGTAAATAAAGTCGAGATTTCAAGTAATATTTTATTTAATATATATATTTATATTAGCTATTTCGGGAAAGATTTTACCTTAGAAAATAAGCTAATAAACTATTACTTTTACTAAGATATAATAAATATAATTAATAGTATATATTTTATCTAATTTTATTTTATTATTTTAGACTAATAGCTATTTCTAAATATAGTTTCTAATTTTATATATAATTAGATTTTAAGATATAGTTCTAATATCAGAATTTTTAATATAATCTATTAAAATAAATTTATTAGATTTAATATATAAAACATTTTTCTCGAGAAAAATATCTCTAATAATAGACTAATTCGGGCTTTTATATATATAAGTATTTAATATAATTCCGGTATTTTAAAAAAAATTTCTAATAAAGTTATAAAATTATTTTTTATAATAAATTCTAATATTATTAACCTTAAATAATAAATAAAAGAGCTATTTACTAAAATTAAATAAAAGTATAAGTTTATTAAATAGCCCTTAAAAAAGGTTATAAAGAAATATAAAAACCTTTATAAATAGCTTAAGAATATAAAAAAAGCTTAAAAAATAAAATTAAAAAAATATATAAAAAAGATTATTTCTTTTAAATTTATAATAAAATAATAAAAAGGCAATTAAATAAGTAATAGAATATAATAGTTATAGAAAAGAAAATAAATATTAATAAATCTATTATTAAATACAAACTTATAAAATAATTATAATTATAATAAATTCTTTATAATTTTTTTCGAGATTTAAATACCTAAAATATTATCTCTCGAAAAACCTCTACTATTAATCTTTCTATTATACTTATAAGCTATAATTAGTTTTAGTCTCTAAAAATCTAATTAAAAAGAAATTTCTTACTTCCGAACTCTTTTAATTAGCTAATAAATTCCGTATTACTTAGAAGAAAATCTAATATATTATTTGTATTAGAAATAAATAGCTCTTATATAAATAATAAATATATATCTTTAACTGCATTTTATATATATAAAACTATATTAAGAATTATTTATTATTATTTAATTTATAAGGCTCAGGAACTAGTTTTTATTAATATTAATAGTTTAAGAATTATATAATAAGGGTTTATAAGATTACTCTTTAGCTTTTAAAAGTTTTCTATTCTTAATTTCTTTATCTTATAACTTTCTTTAAATATATAGTATTAGAAATTATTAAAATTTAAATCTAGCTAAAGATATATTTATAGTATATAATTGGACTGGGAATTATAATTATATAAATATATAATAGTTAATATTTAATTCGAATTAAATTTTTATTAATATAGATTCTAATTTCTATATATTACTTTTAAATAAAATCTATAAATAAAGCCTTATCTAATAAAACTAACTCGAATATAAGATCTATTAAATAATTTTATAATACTAGTAATATTTTTAGAATTATATATATTAAAATAATATCCGGAAAGTTGCCTTTATTAGAATTTAATTTGGCTTTCTTATATTATTTAAAGACTATATTCTAATTTTATAAACTAATAGTTCGGAATATTATTATATAAAAATAAAGTATATTATATACTAGCTATATTATAGTATTATAGATTATTTATAAAGTAAAATTATAATTCTTTCTATTAATTCTTTTTAATCTTTATATCCTATATCTAGTTATATTATATTTTTATATTTAGATTATTTACTTTTTATTTATAATAAAGTTATTTAATAGTTCTTATTTAAATATTATATTTAAAGTTTAGTATTAATATTATATAGAAGTAAATTAATTAAAAATAGATATATTTATTATTAAAACAGAATTAGCTTTAACTTTTTTTAGTTTTATTTAGAATTCTATTTACTATTTCTTCTATTAATAATAATTAATTTCTTTTAGAATAATAAATAAATAATATAATATATATATTAGAAAACTTTCTATATTTATATACTTTTATAATTATAGTCTATTTCTTTTTTTAAATAACCTTATTTTAATTTCTTTAGCTTTTATTATATATAATTATATATAATAACTTAAGTTTTCTAAAATTAAGAAAAATTAATATAATTTATAAAAAGAAAATACTTCTAATATATTATAAGAATTATAATAACTTTATTAAAATAATTATAAATAAATAAAAAGGCTATTTTTCTTTTAATCTTAAAAATAATTATCTTAATAAGCCATTTCTATATAAAAGCAAATAATACTTAAAATAATATAGAATTATCTAAATAGTAAAGGCTTTTAAATAGTTTTTATATCTAGATAATAAGAGCTATAATTATTTTCTTAAATAAGTAATATTTATATTTATTATATTATTAACTTATTTATTATAAAAAGGAAATTATAATAAGACAAAAACCTATATAAAGTATATTAGAATATAAAACGTAATTTAATAATAAAATAATAAGATTAAAAACATAAATAATAAAGTATAAATAGTATATAATATATAAAAGCTTAATTAATTAAATGTAGAAAAGAGATTATTATCTAGAACTATAGAAAAACTAGCTTTCTTATATAATTCCCGCAAGTTATATATAAAAGGCCCTAGTTTTTACTATATAACCAAAATATTAAAACTATTAAAATAAAGTAATTTTAATAAAATACGGCTTGCTATATTATATTATACTAATTACTTTCTAATATTATTAGATTTATAATACTAATAAATTATTTATATTAATAGTTTTATAATATAAATAGTTTCTTAGTATTAATAAATCTTTAATACTAATATTTTAATAATACTAATAGCCTTATAATACTAATAGTTTCTTTATACTAGTAATTTAATAATACTAGTAATTTAATAATACTAGTAATTTAATAATACTAGTAATTTAATAATACTAGTAATTTAATAATACTAGTAATTTAATAATACCAGTTTTTTAATAATACTAGTTTTTTAATATTTATAGTTTTTTAATATTTATATAATTTTTATTAACTATTTCCTTATATTAATAGCTTTCTAACTAGTATATTACTATTATAAAAGCTATAAAGACTTTATAATACTAGTTCTATTTTTAGTTCTTAGAGGAAATAAAATATAAGATTGAAATTTAGAAAATAAAAAGGAAATAAGGTAATTTATAAATAGAGAATATTGAGATAAATAAAGAAGTAAATATAAGTAGCTATAAGTATTATATAAGTTTAGCTAGGGCTAATCTGATTTTATTTTAGTTTTATAATATTTTTTTAACTTTTAAAAGAAATGAAATTCATATAATATAATTATATATAAGAAATATCTTTATTTTAATTATTATTAAATATATATTTTATTAAATTAATAATAGATATTCTAGGCTCGAATATAGAGATATTTTTAATAGAGTTATAAAATGGATCTCTAGTTTATTTCTTATTATAGTAATATTTTATATAAGTTATTAAATTAAAAACTTTATTATTTCCTATTAGTAAATATTTTTAATAAAAGCTTCTAAAAAATATTAAATATATTTAATGTAATATTTTATTATATATAAATATTAGCTCTTTTATAATTCTTTCTATTAAAGTTATAAAAATAAAATATATATAATATATTTTATAATTATAAATTTATAGGATTTTTAGTATCTTTCTTAAATAGTAGCTTTATAAATACCTGCTATTTCTATACTATAGCTAGTAGTAATAGTATCTTACTATTATATATTTTATGAATTATATTTATAATCTAAGTACCTCTCTTAAGTAATAGTATTATAACTACCTTATATTCCTATATTATAGCCTATAATAGTAGTATCTGACCCTAATAATTCGTACTCTCGATTTAAATACTTCTCTCGAGTAGTAGCTTTATAATTGCCTTATACCTGTTCTCTATAGCCCATAATAGTAGTATCTCACCCTTACTATCTATACTCTCGATCTGAGTACCTCTCTCGAGTAGTAGCTTTATAACTGCCTTATATCTCTTTTCTATAGCCCGTAATAGTAGTATTAGAATCTGATAATCTATATTCTTAATCTGAGTACCTCTCGAGAATAGTAGCTTTATAACCGCCTCATACTTATATACTATAGCCTATAATAGTAGTATTCTACTATTATAATTCATATTCTTAATCTGAGTATCTCTCTCGAATAGTAGCTTTATAACTGCCTTATACCTATACTCTATAGCCCGTAATAGTAGTATCTTACTATTATAATTCGTACTCTTAATCTAAGTGCCTCTTTTAAATAATACCTTTATAACTGCCTCGTATCTCTTCTCTATAGCCTATAATAGTAGTATTCGACTATTATAATCTTTTGAATTCATATCTGCCTTACCTGTCTCGAATAATAACTTTATAACTACTTTATATCTAGTATTCTTTATATACTTAAGTACTTTATTAGTAAATATATTTAAATCTCTTAAGAACTCTTATAATATCTAATTAAAGAAATAATAAATAGAAGTATCTAACTTATTAAGGTTAAGTAAGAATAAGATAATATTAAAAATAGTATCTTTAAGATTTTTTCTATAATCTGTTCTAAAAAGATTAATATTATATATATTTAAAGATATATCTAATAAAGTATAAATTTTATTTCGGGAATTAGTTACTTTACTATTACAGAATTTATCTAATATTATATAAAGATCCCGCTTTTAAGCCTATTATAAGCTATTCCGGCAAGAATCTAATATAATATCCAAGATTAGTTAATAGTATAGTTCTGGGATAATTTTTGTTACTTAAGTATTAGTAGCTTCTTCTATAATCCAGACTCTCTTAAACTAACTTTAATAAAAAAGTAACTATAGACTTTTAACTAAAAGGTCTTTTTAGTTAGGCTTTAAATTATATATTACTAATAACTAGATATAAATCTATTCTAAAATTTCCTAGCTATTAGAGGTATATTTAAAGCTCTTTTTCTCTAGCTTCTTTATATAATATATAATATAGTCTATATTATAAATAGCTTTACCTAGCCAGATAATTACTCGTTTAGTTTTATTATAAATAGATTCTATTTACTAAACTTGCTATTCTTATTTATTATTATTATCTTAATTAATATAAAAGATATTAACCTAAAAAACCTAGTCTTATTCTTAGTAATAGAGATTTTAAAGTATAAGATATATATTTTTAGTAACTATTATATTACTTCTATTAATAATTATATTATATAGTCTAGATTTATTACCCTATATATAAGATAAAGCCGTATAATTATAGACGTATTCTAGTAAGGTAGTAGTATATTCTGGTAAGGTAAGCTTTAATTCAAAAAGCTAATACTAAATAGGGTTATTATTATTACTTTTAAGTAATTAGAGCAGGCAAAAGGCAGGCTTCTCGAGGCTAATTGGCTTATATTCGAAATCTGTTATCTTTAGTACTTAGAAGAAGAGTCAGAACTAAAATATATAGAGAGATATCTCATATAGTTATAGGAGTTAAAGTTGTCTTTGGGTGAGCTCTATTTCGCCGGCTTGCTTATATACAGGTGTGTACTGGCCAAGCAAGCACGTGACATGAGCTAGTCGCAGTCGTAACCTTTCCTATAATATTAGTCTCTGTCGTATATTGCTAGTATATACAAACCAGTAGTATATATAAATCAAGTAGTATATATAAACCAAGTAGTATATACAAATTAAGTAATATATATAAACCAAGTAGTATATATAAACCAAGTAGTATATATAAATTAAGTAGTATATATAAACCAAATAGTTTATATAAACCAAGTAATATATATAAACCAAGTAGTATATATAAATCAAGTAGTATATACAAACCAAATAGTATATATAAACCAAGTATTATATATAAACCAAGAAGTATATATAAACCAAGTAATTAGTATATTAAAAAAAAATCAAGGCTAGTTAATTATAATTAATTATAATTTGATTTAGTAGATTTTGACTTGATTTGATTTAATTATAATTATAATTAATTATAATTAACTATAATTATTACGTAATACTAAGAAAACTTGAATTTCTCAAGTATTACGAGTACAAGATCTAGGGCCTGGAAGGCGTGGTTAGACTATCTCTATTTCGACGATTCAAAGCTAAAGAGAGAAGAGGATCTCGAAGGAGCCTCGGATCTAAATAATCGCGAGCTACGCACGGGCCCACGTGCTAACTTAAGCTCGGGGTCACGTGTAACCATCAGGTGACTACAGATGCCTCGCTCAGATGCCAGATGCCTTGCTAGCTTTAGTCTAACCCCTACTAGTACCGTATATTATAATAACCGTAATATCAAGTAACTTAAATAATTATTAAATAACTAACAGCTATATTAATAAGATATAAACAAAGCTTATAAAATATATATAAGAGTATAAAGCTAGTCTAAATCTGGTATAAAAAACTAGTTATCTTCCTTAGAAACCTCTTCTTTATCCTTTTTATTCTTATTTTCTGCTTTTTTTATTTCTCCCTACTTTGAGGGATATTAAGATTAATTAAAGATTATTGAGACATTTTCGAATATATCGAGTAAAAATAAGTAAGTTTATAGTCAAAAGCTTCTTAATTGGAGCTATAGTTATTGAGATATTTATATATAAAATAAGAGGAAAGGGAATAACTTGAGGAAAATCACTTATTTATATATAAAACCTCTAGAATCTAGAAGATTCTTTAATAAGCGTCTAATTAGATACAACCCCCTAATATTAAAGCGCCCATTTATGAGAGGGCCTATTTTTAACTATTTTATTTATAATAATAAGATTTATAAGATAGCGAGAAATTACGAGAAAATCGAGGAGGTTTTAGCGCTTTCGGCTAGTGCCGCTTCGCTTGCCAAGCGGCACGATACCCGATTTAGTAAGAAGCACCTTAAGCGATACCGGATATAGGCTAGCCTAAGCCTTATTTTAGCCTTATTTCGCTTTTCTAATCTCCGAGCATACGTGCACGGTCACGTGACTAAATAATTAACTATAATCAATTATAGTTGATTATAGTTGATTATGATTTGATTAAGTAGATTTTGACTTGATTTGATTTGATTCAGAGGCGATAATCAAATCAAGCTAAATCATTTGACACACTGCAAGTAATGTATACAAACCAAGTGAGATCAGCGGGCCGGCCCGTAGGTCAAGGCTTAAGCGAGTCCAGGTCGTAACATGATATTATTAAAGGCTATCGTTGGTAGGTTTCCCAAGGAGTTCTTAATATAGAATAGCAGGGCTATAAAAGCCGAAACTATTTTTAGATTCGGAGTACTACAATTGCAAGTAGATCAGGTTGAAATACTATACTATAGAGTAATCATGCCTGAAGTATATTACTTTAATATACTACAAGATAGCGTACGTGCCTTATTTATACTTCAGGCCCGAGTACTCTCAGCTATAGTACTGTAACTAAGAGTACGTTAGCTTGTAGGACTATACCTCAGAGTATTACAGGATAACGTACACGGTTTTTTCATACCTTAGCCCCGAGTAACTTACTCTTAGTAGTAATACCATAACTGAGCATGTGCTTTAATATTAATTTCTAGATATCGAACTAATTACTTAAAATATCTTGCTAGTAATACGGATTTCCGGTTTCTCTAACCTTGCTTGTCTTGTCAAATCTATACTAATAATTCCCGTAATAGTCTTCTAGAGTGGACAATTCTTCTAGGATTTCTCTCCAGCTTAAGCCCCTCCCGAGAAGTTTCTACACTTTGTTCTTCCACAGGTAACTATGCGCCAGCCTTGAACTACTATTAGTTCCCGGAGGCGGTTACTGGGGTTCTCCGCGAGAGCTAGTTGAGGACTTGGGAGCCAAAACGGGATCCCCACACCAATCTGCGTTAAGTGCCTATTTCGGCTCCCCCTTTACCGACGGGCCGGAGCCAATTTAAGCTCCTGACATACTAGCTATATTTAGTATTATTATAGGAACCCATTCCGACACCCTTTAGTAAAAGGTGCGCTGGTGAGAATCATAGGGAGAGTGAGTGAGGGGCCGAACGCTGGCGTTGGAAAGGGAGCAGAAAATTGGCGCCCTGACGCTGGCGTATCCGTTTCGCTGGCGCTTGAGGAACGTCGGCGTCAGGGATGGGGGGCATCATTCGGCTCCCCGACGCTGGCGCATCCATTTCGCTGGGTTTCTTGGGTATTGTAGTACATATAGGAGTTGAGAGCACCTGTGAGAGGATCTTGACTTCCGATGTAAGAACTTCTCATAATGTACAATAGTGTCATAGTTTAGCAAGCCGCATAGCAGCCAAATGGCAGCTGGGACGGTCTATGAATTCAAGTCAAGTCAAGTCAAGCATCCATTTCGCTGGCTCTTGACGAACGCCGGCGAATAGAGCAAAATTCGGCGCCCTGACGCTAGCGTATTTGCTCCCTGGACGCTGGAGAGCGCTAGCGAAAGGGATGTGTTAGCCTTAGGCTGAAATATTTTTGCTGCTGATGATCTGACCTAAAAGGTCAGAACATCGGGTTAGTTCCATTCTATTAAGGAAATTTTTAGCGTTAATGATCTGACCCGAAAGGTCAGAACATCGCCAGTTCTCTTCCTAAGGCCGAAATATTTTTGATGTTATTGATCTAACCAAAAAGGTCAGATTATACATAATCCTAGTGTTGCAGTATAGCAGTTGTTTATAAGTTGAATTCTGGTAGAGAAGCACGGGGGCCACGTTATACACGAGGCGTAGCGTGCACGACATTGTTTGTTTAGTCGTAGGAGAAAAATCCTCAGAGAAATTCCCTAAATGATTTCTCCTAAAATTCTAAGGCTCCTACGAGAACTCTCCTAGGAGGATTATCTTAGGAGAATTCTCCTACGATATCTACGGTCTTAAGAGCATTCTCCTAAGATCTCTAAGGTTATAGGAGAATTCTCTTAGGAGAATCCCCCTGCGACATCTACGGTCCTAAGATTATTCTCTTAAGATATATAGAGTCCTACGAGCCATAATATCCCAAGATACTTATCTCAGAAGTAATATTCTTATAGGAGCCATGGAAATTACATCAAATGCTTCTTAGCTAACCGCGTTGTGTAATATTACGGTCACAACTCTTCTCACACTAGTTAAACGACTTCGCTGCTTTTATGCTAATCTAATTAGGCCTGTCTTGCTAATAAAGACCGATAATGCATCGAGTGTTCTTTTGCAAGTAATGCACCGGACCTTCCCCCTTTACCCTCTGGTTAATCCCCCACTCCTCCTAGAAAAGTTCGTCACCTGAGCTCTGACAAGAGACAGCATCCACGAAAATTTCAGCATCATTTGATAGGAGAAGTTAAGCAGACCTTAGTTGCCATGTGTTCATCCTTTACAAAACGTCTTGCTTGTGGATGTGATGTTGGGCAGCGGTGTCGCACCAATGGCTGCGATGGGGCGTATGCCAATGCCCTATACGATGAGACATTGGATTTCGACTCAGATAAAAAATGCGAGGCACACGCATACGCCAGCCCGCCTACCAGTTCAGACAGTAGTGTATCAGAGACCTTGTCCGAGGGAACGTCTTAGTCGGTACTGTCGGCAGTAGTCGGTAGTTTGGTTTAAAGGGGTTTACCCTGGGTTTAGTTTAATCGCATTACGTGGTCGGACGCAACTGGGGTTTCGCCAAGCACTCTAATAGCTAGACAATGAAATCTTTTGCTGCTAATATACGTTTCCCCCCATGTGCTCCTATTATACCATGGCCACTCTGAGCATGCCCGAGCCGGAGCTTAGCAGGAATCTATTAAAACAGGAAGCCGGATAATATCTGGTTTAATATCGGAGAAAACGCTCTAACGAAGAAGAGGTTATTGCGGCTCAGCTTATTAAGGACCTTTGTATACGGGAATACCTCGAAGTCGAAAAGGTTACCTATATCGGGACTTCTATAACTGAGGAGTATTTGCATATTGTCTTCGACTATTATAATTCAGATTATATAGTTACTACCATTAATGCGTTCAGGGGCAAGAAGATAAGAAGGATCTTTATTTCACCTGAAATAATAACTTATATTAACTAACTCGTCAATAACTAGATACGGTTTTATAAGACTTAGGGTATCGGATTTCCAATTAAAGACGAGATATTATAATCTTTTTATGCCTAACTAAATGCTCTGGATGTAACTTATTTACAATATAATAGATATTTCCCCCCGGATCTACTAATCCTCGCGTGCCGCAAAACCTTATTCGCGAGACCGGAAGTGCAGTTCCCTCTCGACCTACTCTAACTGAAGAGGACGCGACGACTTGATTCGATAAATATATATACTTTAATGCGCCGTTGTATTCCTTGGAATGTCTGCAAGCGATTGCATATTCCTAGGGCTAGTATTGCAGTCCGAATTCTGATAGCAGCTTACGGAGATTATACGAGTTCCGCCACGCACTCGAGCACCATACTCAACACGTACTACCAAGCGATGCTCACGACGGAGCCACTCACCGCCGATATCGCCGACGTCCCTGCCGACTTGTCCAATCCCTTCGACTACCTGACGAATCTGTACGGCGCCTGTCTGTGGGCATGGTACTGCAAGGGTTGCATCTGTACGAGACGGCTGTGCACGCGTGAATGGGACATACACACGGGTGGGATATCGCGAGCTGGCGAGGGAGCGGAGAGTCGAGACGGATTGGGAGATGAAAGAAGCCTTCTTTCTTCCTTTAATTCCTCGTGCTACGTCTAACCTACAATGTACACCTTGACTCAAACCCTCACACAAATCTTAGGCAAGACCATCCTTGGCATCCTCCAACTCAGTCGAACCCTCTCTTAGCTATCGCACCTTCCGAGTGGGGCGAAGTAAGCTTGAGTCCCACTCCGTACCGCCCCTCGAAATGACCCCTCGCTTCTGTCTGCGTCTCTATTGGTCTCTCCGTATTGCTTCGCGAAGACAGGTCCTCAGTCCCCGTATTCTCGACCCTGAGGCTTGACATGTCCCTTGATAACTGCTGGAGCGAGACATCACTGAGGTGGCCTCCGACCTGCCTGGTTCTCCACCCAAGTCCTCGGTTTTTACCGTGGACGACCTTCCCGTCAGTAGAAACCATGAACTGTATAGCGTCGCCTGTAGCGTAGTTGTCAATGGTGGTAATGTTTTCCTTCAAGTGGACGCCTGCTTTGGAGCAGATCCCTATACACTGGCGGGCCGTCTCCCACTCGTCCCGCAGCCTTGTAAGATCCGCAAGTTCCTCCTCTGAAGTCATAGCTGTCCTCGATTTTGCCACTAATCGGTCGATAAGATCTTTCATATACCCTTCCAACTTCGCGGCCGTAAGAGCGAGGCTATTCTTGCACTCCTGCAGGCCCTCAGTAGTGAGTCTTTCGGGTACCGCATCTTCTGGATCCATGGATCCTGGAGAGCCACTGAGCCGAGTCGTGAGCTGGATCTGATCGATATGGTCAGACAGCTGGGCACAGATTTGGAGGCACTTTTGCGTGCTCATCCGCTCCTCCTTCATGAGTCGCAGTTCTGTTGTATCCAAGTCGGACTCCGCCACAGTGTGTCCAAATACAGTCTCGAGCTTCTCATCGATGCTTTGAAGATGCGCATCGAGATCATCAGTGGCAGTCTTTATGAGGTCTCTATAGATCTTGACGCTCTCGGCCGTAACGGAGGATTTGCGTCTACCCGGACAAGGTAATGGTTAGAACGGCTCCGGTTCTGTACAGGAATACAGAGACTCACAGGCTTGCGTCGGTGAGGGCAATAATGATGGTAGACTTGTATCCAGCTAAGAGTTGCCTGAAACCGTCGATGTCGTCACCCATGTACCTCAATTTGGCCCAGTCTCGGAAGCTGGTCCGACTGCCACCGGATCGGGACGAACACTTCGTGATTTCCTGTCCAAACTCTTTGCAGGCATTGCCGCATCATCGCAAGGGAAGATCGAGCGCAGAGAAGTCTACGTCAGTAGTGGCACTGACTGTCTCGGTGAGCGAGCCCAGAACCCCGCTCAATGCCTCTAGCTCGTCTTCGAGGTCGCGGACGCGTTTGGGGTGAAATTGAAAACTCTGGACCGTCTGGTAAAGCGCGATGCTAGACTGGAAGGCGAAGGTAGCCAAAGTCAGCAGCCCGGAAGCCACGCCTATAGGTTCTGCCATTGCGTCTATCACTTCGATGCGGGGTAGGAGGTAGCGGAGACAGGCAAGAAGTTAATGCTCATATCGAGGAATCGTAGGAATTTGAGCGGGGTCATGTATGGGGCCTGTAATTAGGCGCCGGGGATGAGCGCCTATCTAGTGTGATAGAGTCCCCTGAACTGGCGCCGACCAATAGCGATATGTGGGAGCAACTGTCGGTCACATGATTTTACCGCCCCATGGAGTTCCCTTAAATATTCTGAACTGTATCCAAGAATAGACCTCCAATTGGGAGGATTGGTCAAGCAAATTTAGTTATGCCGCCATGCGCTTAGAGATGCACCAGCACGTGATAATACTCGTAATGTTGGTAGAATTCTACCAGTACTTCAAAGACCCGTAAATAGTTAGGCGGTTTTGTCATGCCTGGAGTTGGGGAATATCGAGGAAAATGGAAAGGCGGATGGGTACGACTAGTAGAATTCTACCAGTCTTAGAAGTTTCTAGGAAGGAGGAAAGGCGGGATCGGTATAACCAGTAGATTTCTATTAGTCTTGGCTAATACCAGGAAGAAGGAAAGGCGGTATAGCCAGTAGGATTCTCCTGGTATTGGAAATATCTAGGAAGATGGAAAAGCGTTTCGGTATAGCCAGTAGAATTCTACCAGTCAGTGTTAGATATATTTAGAAAGGAAGGAAAAGCAGATCTGTATGGCTAATCTCTTTCCCCTTCCCAATTCCCCATTAAGCACCACCATATTTAATACTGGGCTAGCTAGAGCTGTTTATAGATTTGGCTTTCTTCCTACTCTTGTTCTTCTTGCGCTTGGGTTTACACGAGCGGTCCCCCCGTTTATTTGGGTCACAGTAGCTATTATTGCCAGATCTAGCCGTGGCGTTATTAGTAATATGGACTGCTCCTAATACGCAGACTTGCCTGTTATAATAGAGTTACTAATAATTAATATTTGAAGTAAAGTACCCTATAGGCTAATATAAATATTATTATTCCGTAGATTTTCAAGGAACAGGTATAGCAAGGCCAAAGACTACAAAAACTCGAAAATTACCTTCTTATAGATCAAGTTAATTTATTAATAAAGGAGCTACTATTAAATAGCAACTAGCCAAAACCTTTGCAAGATATATTTAATAACTATAATTTAGAGAATAATATATTAAATAGTAAAGAATTAGGGATTAGATTAATCTTATTTATAAACTAACTTAAGAACTAGATATTATAAGAAACTTATACTTATATTATACTATTTATATTTCAAGATATAGTAGTTAGGCCAATTACTTGTAATAGTCTTAGTTATTTAATAAAGAACCAAGAAAGTTATAAAGATATAATAAAATATTTATATATAATATACTTTTATATAGATTAAATAAGCTATTATAGGAAGCTATAAATTAATAATATAATAATTAGTAAATTTTCATTTTAGTAAAATATTAGAGTTAGCCTAAAATTATACAAGCTATTTTTATAATTTAATTAAGCCATTTCTAATTCTATATTATTAATTTACCCTAAAGTCTTTTTCGGGCTACTTTAAATCCTCTATAAATAGCTAACGTCTTTCTATAAGCAGGTATCTTACCTTATTTAGAAATAGCTACCTGTTTATAAATAGAAATTCATATATATTCGATATTATAACTTTATAAGTTATAATTCAATAGCTATAAAGGTTATATTACTGGCTTTATAAGTAATAATTATATTAGAATTAGAAATTATATATAATTCTATAGTATTATTATAATAAGGCTATTTATATAATAGTACTAGTTAGTTTTAGAGAGCTATATATTCTAATTTATATTTAGAAATATATATACTAAATATATAAAGAAATACTAGGTTTTTAATTTTTCTATTACTTTCTAATATAAATAACTAGACTATTATAACTAATTATAATATACTAATTACTATTTTAGTAAAAAATAATAAGTATTTCTTCTATTTTAATAAGTAATAGCTTTATATATACTTGCTATTCTTTTATTCTATACTTATAAATATATTTTTAAAAGACTTATAAATAGGTTATATTACTTTTAAAAATAAATAAATAAACTTTTAATATAAAAGCTTATAATATATTTATAAGGTAATATTATAGCCTCTTCTGAGCCTAATATTATCTTTAATATAATTTACTAAGATTCAAGTAATATCTAGTATATCTCTATTATAAATTACTTGTCTATAGCTTTATTTCCTTTTCTTTAATTATACTTTATAATTATTATACTTTATAATTATTATACTTTATAATTATTATACTTTATAATTATTATACTTTATAATTATTATTATACTTTATAATTATTATACTTTATAATTATTATACTTTTTTTAATACCTTTCTCTAACTGCCTTGCCTTTTTATAATTACCTATACTATATTTACTATAACCTAATCATGTTCTAATATAGCTAATAAGGCAAGTTACTAAAAAGAGAAAATCATAAAAGTAATAATATAAGGAAATATAATTATTTACTTATAATTATAACAAATAATTAACTATTTCCGAAAGCTAGATAAGCTTCCTAGAATACTAAATAAGAGCCTTATTATCCCTAAGATAAATCAGATATTTTATCTAAGTATCTTATAAGAAAAAAAGATTATAAGTAATCTAGTATTTCTATTAGCTACTTTAGATAAAAGCCTAAAGATTATAGCTATTTATATTAAAGAATATTATAATAGAAAAGAAATTATAATTTAGATAATATTAAATATAGAAGATTTCTTAGTAATTATATAAGAGTTTATTATATTTATAAAAATCTTAAAATAAGCTATATAGTAAGATTAATATTCTAACTAAATTCCAAAATATAACTAATTTGCTTTTTAGAGAATTCGAAAACCAAGAATATTAAGGCTCTTTTTTAATAAGTTATTATTCTAGACTTATACTAGATTCTATTATAACTATAATTATAGTATAGAGAGATCTAGAAAACTATTAAAAGACTAGCCTTTATTATTTAATTATATAAGGCAATTAATAGCAAGTTTATTAAGGCCAGGTTAGAATTAATAAAAAGTAATTTAAAGAATAATAGAGATAGAATAAGAGCTCTATATATTTTCTTTATTAAGCTAAAAGACATATTTGATCTTTATATAAAAACAGGCAAAATATATAAAATAGTTAGAGAGATTATTAAATAGGCCCACGAATTTCCCTTAATTACTTTTAATATAGCTCTTTAAAGCTTAATACTAGTGTGACGGCTGGTGTCACATGGTTGATACGGACGTGGTTTCAGCCAAAGGGGTTGGTTTCAGCTAAGGTTCCAAGCTATGGTTCAAACCAAGCTCGCTTCCAAAGCTCGGCGTTTCAGTGGTCTTGGCCATACCTACTTATCCACTGCCACACCTCACTCCTGTCCTCCTTAGCTTTAAATTCTTAAGATATTGGAAATTATTGATCTTTGAGCCTCGTTCCATTGCTCTGTTCCTGCCGTCACAACTAGAACTAATTTTAAAGTAGTATTTACTAGAAGCAATTAATAAACTGGCCTACTATTACTCTATTATCTTCGAGCTTATTTATATTATAAGAAATAGAATATATTATATATTTTAAAATATTTAGATAAAGCTCTTTTAGATTCAGATACTTGCCTCTTTCTAAGAATTATTCTAGAAAGTTTATACTAAAATATAGCTTCTCTTCTTTTATAAGCTTTATTTATATTATTAGTAACCGAGATTTATTTGCTTTAGTAAGAATACTTACTACTTATATAATTTCTTCTTTTTTCTTTATAACGGCTTTTAAGTCTCTTAAATATATAGCAAGCTTTATAATAAATAAACTCTTTTAGACTAATTAGACATTTTAGTAAAGTATTATAAAAAGCTAAATTATATTATAATTTAATTAAAAGCAGCCTTTAATAATAAGGTTTAAAGGGCTTTAAAATCAAAAAAGTAATATTACTTTCTAAATAAAAATATCTTATTATTATTTATATATTAGTTTTTATTATCTCTTTTTAGAAATCTATTAATCTAGGCTTTAATATTTATAATTCAGCTATAATTCCTTTTTATTTAAGAGAAAGATTCAAGTATTTTACTATATATTAAGATACTATTAATTTTATTAAGAATATTTCCAGAGCTACTTTATATTAGTAATAGTAATATAGATACAAGAATAGCTCTAGATAAGGTTATACTTATTAAAAATACTATAGGTTATATATCTCTAATTATAATTAAATATAACTAGCTTCTTTATAGCTAATTAATTATATTAGTAATACTATTATTATATTTATAGCTTAATAAGCTATTTCTAACTTTAGATTTTCTCTAGATATTTTCAAGTTATTTATTAATTACTTAGATAAAAGATATAATTATATTATATAAAGGATATTATACTATTAATATAAAAGATATTCCTATAATTACTAAACTCTAATTAAGTTACTTATAGAACTCAAATAAGCTTAAATTTTAGTTACAAACTACTCGAAAGAGAATTATTTATATCTCATTTATATAAGATAGAGTTTGACTAGTAAAGGATTTAAAGAGACCCCTTGCGACTATTAGGCCTTAATAACGAAATTATAGTTCTTAGCTTTGCTTCTAATAAGTACTACTATCTCTGGTTAGTATAAGGTTATAATTTGGCACAAATTTATATTCTATTATAAGTAAGAAAATAATAGATATCTAACCGTACCATTCTCATCTGCTCTATGTTCCTCCGTAAATAGTCAGGGCAGTGACATGGCATAATAATGAGGCTTGTTATTGACTAATGGGAGTAGATATCTAGATAACGCTTGCCAGAGAAAGTGCGACCGACCTCTTTACTGCAGGTTCCGCCGCAAAGGACTCCCAAAAGCCTGCCCGATCTCCATCCTTTGCAGTAGATCTTGTTCTGAGTATCGGGAAGCGTCATAACTAGGATAATCTTGTGGTCCGCAAAGGGGTTTCTGTTTGCCCCCGGAGGTCTTGGGAGTTTAATAATCGTGGTCTTATTTCCATTTTGTAAAACTACTAGATATCTATCCAAAAGGACTTCGCAAATGGCCCTACTGAACCGACCAACTCTATTCGTCGTTTGGCATTAATGGGATACAGTACATCCTATTGGGTATTAACGCATGGGTGCAGCCAATCCTCGGGTCGGTGGTATTGTATAGCAGGCATGCCATGAATCGACGTGATCTTTTATTACCCCAACCTTGATTTATTTCCATGGTATTTGAAATATTTACTTCTATCAGGTCACTCCAAACCCTCATCGATATTAACGAATAGATATAGATCCAGCCTCGGGCTCTCTCTCGCAACGCATTCAGTACAAGCCTCTCGACGCTTCTCGTAACGAGATTCGAGTTTTATCCTTCGAGCCTCCTTTAATACCCGACGACTTGAATAGTCGCCTAGATCGCATTCTGGGTCTAGGTCTCGGTCCCTTGCGCCTCATACTTGAGCACGTATCTTTGAACGACTTCAAGCCAGAATATATAATAGTTCGTACTGAACGCCTTGTATAATGGAGCAGGAGCCAAGTTAATAACGCCTGGAGCGAGCAGTTTGAGTTTGAACTAGGGTCAATATTCTCAGATATGTTCCGTACTATTGCTAGGTTCACATGGGGCAATTATACAGTAATTAGTTATATGTGGGGAAGCCCAGAAGATACGAAGACAATTACTATTAACGGGATGCCCGTTACTGTTAGGAAGAACCTAGCTGCTGCTTTGGACTGCCTTCGGTCTTCCCTCGTGGACAAGGTCTAGATCGATGCCATTTGCATATATCTTGATCGATACCGAATGAAATACCGCGGAAACTTGAGGCTGGGACCTCTATTTTCTAAAGTCCTTCGTTTTTCGCTAGTCGGGATCAATAAGCAGCACTTTTCATCTATCACTTTTGTACTTGAGACTTCTGCGAATACAAGATATTTTACCCTCAATTGTGATCCTCTGCGGGCCGAACTGACAGATACATGTAATTTGCAACGGACAAGGTCTTATAATATAATTATAAGTAGCTTAGAGCGCGTGCGATCACTCGACTATAAAAATATTAAAGAGAAACGTATACTCACATAGAATTTTAAACTACTTTGATTCCTTGTATTTGAAACCCTTCGGACTTTAGTGCTTCCCCGTCCATAATGCTGTGGATGTAGCATTCGCCAATGAAAGTATTAAAGGCTCCACATGTTCGAAGCACAAAAGGTACTCGTGCTCCCCTCACGACACAAACCACATCCCCTTCTCGAGCAGAGCCAGGAACTAGTCCAATGTAGCCACCGCTGGTCCGACACAAGCGACGCATGTGAACGCCTCGGCGCATTGCACGCAAAAACTGATCTGCAAATTTTGAGGTCTTTTCTCCCTTTTCGCTAGAGATGTGTTTTATCCACGCAGAATACTGAGGTTGATAGTCGTCATTTGCTTTCCGTCTGTCATGGGTTCGACCGCCTATTAATGTCTGCCAGATCGCTGTTTCCATAGCTTCTCCTGTGACATAGGGCCCAGTATCGTAGACTTGGCGGGTTTCTTCTAGCCAGTCAATCCAACTATGATCTTTGGTCTTGGTTTTGACGCAGATGATATCCGTAAATAAGAGTATTCTGTCTATAATCGCGCCTTGAAAAGAAAGGTCGCCGGAATCTGCGTCAGCATTGATCGCGACATCCCATCCATTTGGTCCACCAGCGGAATACATGTAGACACTCTTTTCGGTCAGGAAAAATTCGTTCCAGTCGAAGGGAACAGTCACGGCTCTTGCTGTCCAGTCGGGAACCCAAGACGGTAGATCGGATGGCGTTTCGCATCCAGCTGCCTTCAGGAGTTCTAGCGACTGCCCTTGCTGTGTTATGTTTGCTGCAACTCTCGTGTATAACCCCTGCACAGATATGCTGTAATCCGCCTCGATTTGTAGTAGTTCCGAGTCTGAAGCCAAGGGCAGTACTGCGAAGACTTTATCCCTCGGATCGGTACGAAGACAACGGCATAAAGTATCGGGAATACAGGGCATTTTGACCCTCAGCGCTCTAGAGGGTGTGAATTTAGGGCAGGAGCTCGCTATAAGCCCCTATAACTCTAGATAGTACTCCCTAAATCTATATAAAGAGGCGCTATAAGACATTCGCATAGGGTAAGTAGATCTTCTAGGGTTATAGCGCTGTTGGTAGAGTAACCACAGCGCTCGGATACTAAACAAATAACTATTATAGGTCTCTTTAGCAAAGACTCCCTTATAAGTACAGGGGAGAAGCCCTGAAAAGGTGTGGTACCCCTTGTCGAAGGCGTAAATGCCTATGATTAGGGAAGGGCCTGGAAATATAGGGTCTTATAGCGAGTTTGCTACCTTGATCTGTACGCTGGAGAGCCTGAAAGTCTCCCAATGCCCTGTATTCCCGATACTTTATGCCATTGTCTTCGTACACTGCTGAGCCCGACAGGCTCTAAGCAACTGCGTAAGAGAGATATTCCTCCGAACAACGGTCTTGCATGCAGCCAATCTGAGTTCGCCGAGCCACAGAAGAGAAGAGGCAGAATCGGTATCACTGTGGCGGATGACGAATGGAAAATAGCCATCATGGGCGAGCAGCACCAGCTCCAAGACCATGTACCAGCAGACCTCTCGGCGACCGCAGAGTAAAATTGGCACAGATCGGCTTAGCAGTGTCTCTTGGGCAATCCACAATCGGCTTGGCCATGGTCGCTCGAAGAACTCGCAGAGTGCTGTCCATCTTGAGTCATTCGTGGGAGGAAAGGTCATATCGGCTCTTTTCCCCTCCCAAGTCCGAATTTGTTCTCCAAGCTCTTTAATGAAATCAAGCGCTTGGTTGCTATTTTTTGTTGCAGGACCGGTGTAGGTCAAAACACGGCTAGCGCGGCGGTAGATAATATTCATTATCGAGACCTGCTGAGTCCGCTTGTGCAAATCGGATTGATATATATAGACTCTATCTGCCCACAGGACTTGCTCTTGATCATTGCAGTACAAGGCGCGAATGTCTTGCAGAGCCAGGAAGAGGGAGTGGGTGATGTGGACGGCATGATCCTCATTGACAAGCAGCACCTCAGATGCCAGAGGAGAACCCCAGACATATGATATCGCGGAGTACGGCGGGGCCTCATCAATCGCGACATGGTGGATTGTGCATCGCAAGGGCTCTTCCTCAGAGCCTGGTTGGAGGCATAAGAGTCGAATCTCCCTATTACCTTTGAATGGGCTATATAAATACTGCGGAACGTCCATTTCTAGTATAGTTCCACCATTCGCGAGGATCAACCTGCAAAAATCGCCTTGTCCTTTTGCCCGATTTAAGATCGTTGAAGGTCGATGACCCAGAAAAGGGTGGAAGTACAAGATCTGACGAGTAAGCGGGTCGAGAGGTCGAAAGGTCATCGAACCTTGGAAAATAGAATGCAAAAGGCTACGGCGTTTAAAGACAGAGCCTTGCACTGTATCCTCGAATATCATTCAGGTGGGATCGACTCGAAGGCATTTTCACTAGGTGGCCTAGCTCCTGGCTTCGTCATCAGACGATATCGAGAGAAGGCTCTGAGGTCCAAAGGTGTCTGCCTCCATCCTCGCAGTGCTGAATCCTATCTGGCACTGGAACATCTCCAACCACCCATCCAGCGCCGTATCCCACCCGAATCAACGTATCAGGACTGGCCACTTGGCCGACTGGCCGACGCCGAGCCTATCCGTGTCTGTGTTTTTCCGAATATGCACGTGATAGGTCAAGGCGTATCGTTGGGAGCGCAGGCGCACACAGTCGCCACTGATACTAGTGAAGCTACCATGCACGTCGTCCCGCCTGGCAAGGCGGACGCACCCAGCCAGCTGCAAAAGGAGAGCAGAATTAAACAATAAGTGGAACATGGAAGGACTGGGTCAAAATACCTTTCATCAACTTGATCGAAAATAATCCATGGCCATCATTTCTGAGATTCCAGTCGAATTCATCATGATTTCGTTGCTATTGTATACTATATTGAAGCAAAGCACATCATGGAATCACATAGTGTTGTCAGCGAACTGCACATGCCATTTGTGTTTGATTTTCCATTCTGGTACTAATAAAGCCAACCTTCGCCGATATCGGCTAAGCCTCAAGCAAATGGCACGTGCTATATGTAGCAGGAGCTAAGCGAATGCAGGGTCTGAAAATAGGCTAGCTATAGAAGGCTAGTGTGCACAAAATGTGGGTCAAAATAAAATCACTAAGTGTTTCCAAATTAAAGCCGATTTCGAACTTTACTATAAGTTTTAAAACTAAGTTTTTATAAAGAAATTTTAAAGCTATATATTTGCTTTAATATAGTTTTAATGCTTTTCTTAACTTGTTTTATAATTTAATATTTTAATATTTTAATATTAATAAGATTTTATATAATATGAATTTATAACTAATATAAGTTCTTATATAATTTAAAATATAAGGTTTATAATATTTATATTTTAATTTTATAAACTTATTAAGTTTTATTATTATTTAATAAATTTAAGCTATTTATTTTTATTAAAGCTATTTAATAACTATAAGCTATTTATTAATAAATAATAAGGTAATAAAATAAATTAGTAAATTATAAAACTATAGTTATTATAATTCAGCTTTTAATCTCGTTAGCTAATATAGTTATCTAATAATTACTTATATTTTATTACTTTCTAAATATATATAATATAGCTATTTTATTAAAGAAATATATTTGAAATATACTAGAAATATAAGAAAGGCTAAGCCCTTTATAAACTAGTATATTATAGGATATATATATTTCCTTATAATTATTTATATTCTAGTTTTCTCTTTCTTAGCTTTAAATTATCTTTATAAGAAATCTTCTATTTTATTTTTCAAGCCCTAAATATTATATTTATAATAGTATTTAAAGCTTATTTCCTTTAATTTTATAAAGGATTTCAAATAAACTAATTTAGAACTATTAGAAATATAAGTATTACTAAAATAATAGAACTTCAGAAATACAAGTAATAAACTCTAGAATAATAAAAGCAAAAAGCTTTAGAATTCTTAGAAAAATCAGATATTTATATCTTTATAAATATATACTAATAATATATTAGAAATCTTTTTAAAATCCCCGAAAATTAAAGAACTTTATATAAAGGCCACTTTTTAATTAAGTTCTAGAATAATAAATACCTATAGATTAGTAATCTAATTATTATTTTTAAGTTCTATTCTATAACTTTATAGGCCCTATATATATACTAGTAATAAAACTATTAGAAAAAATATAATAAAAAAAAAGTATAATAAATTAATTTTCTAAAATACTATATAATTAGAAATTATATTAACTTTTACTAGAGCTTTTAAAGCTTTTACTAATTTAGGTTATTTTATTAATAGCCTTTTCCAAATTAAATACTATATTAATATTCCTGAAAAATTTATAAATAAGTTTATAGAAATAGAATTCTTTACTTTTATTATAAAGCTTTTAAAAACTAATAATTATATTACTATTAAAGAATTATATAAATAAGCTAGAAAGTCTAATATTTTATTTTTAAATATTAATATTATTATAAAAATCTATTAGAAAAATATTTAAAAGGCCCTTTTATATAAGAATATTTATAGCTATAATAAGGCTATTTTCGAGAATATTAAGCTTTATAATACTAAACTTGAAAAGAATATTAAATACTATATAGCTTTAGTAAATTAATTTATAATAGCTTTAGCTACTTTTATTTTATTTGCTTTTATTATTTTCTTTATTTTAAATTTCTTTCTAAAGAATTCCGATTTATTTCTTATTTATTTCTATTTAAAATTCCTTATATCTTATATTTCCTTTAAAGATACTAGAATTACTAAGCTTTTAGATTTAATTTACTTTACTAAAAATAGTATTATTTTTAATAACTAGCTAATTTAAATTAAGAATAAGCTATAAGAAAATACTAATTTATATTTTTAAAAGAATTTTAAGATTATTTATATTTCTAGTAAATTTATAGATAATATTCTTGCCCTAATTAATTCTTATATAAATAAAAATAATTCGAATTAATATTATTAGCTTTAAGAATTATATTTTTATTTAAAAAAGCTATATTCTAATTCTAATAAAATATAAAATACTTGCTATAACTTTAGTAAGCTTTAAATATATTTTAATTAAATATTTTAGAAGTTCTATATTTTCTTTTTATAATTATTTATAGAAAATAATATTAGTTTTTAAAATATTAAATATAAACTAAATAAAAAGCTTTTATTAAAGTATTAGAAATTAATATATATATATATTATAATAATTCTTTTATTAATATTATATTATTAATAATTAATAAATTAAGGCTATATATAAGAAAACTAAAAAATATAAAAAAATAGAAACTAGTTTAGCTAAGATTATTTCTAGTATTATATTTTCTTATATTTTAAAAAAAGGAATTTAAAAAGCCTATATCTATTATTTTTATTAAATATATATTTCTTTATAAATATAAATAATATCTTATAAAAACTAAAAATTTCTCGGCTATTAAATACTATAACTATAATAAATTTGGCTATTATATTAAATACTATTTAATTAGATATAATAAGGAAACCAAAATAGCTTTTTCTAAAATTAAGTCGGGTTTAGTTTCTATTTTATTAAAATATCTAGATTTTATTCTAGTAAAGTATTTAAAGAATTTAGATTCTAATTCTAATATAAAACCGGAAAACAAATATCTTTAAAAAAACTTTCTATTTTAGAAACTTATAATATAAATTTAATAGAGAGTAACTTAATTTATTTAATAAAAGAAAATATATTTATAATATTTCATATTATTAATATAAATAAATTAGAAATTAATTTCTTTTCTTTATTAATACTAGAATAAATAATTATACTTTTATTAATATAAAGCTTATTTAACTTATAAAATAATTCTTAGAAATAGAACTATAATTCCTTTTTTATTTTATATTATATATAATTTTAATAAAAAGCTAGCTAAATTTATTAAAAAAATATTTAGAAGTCTTATTTCTAATTAATAAATAAAATATTAAAATACTTATTATTATTCTAAATCTTAGAGATTATAATATTATTCTTAATAAAAAATGAATTATATATATTAATATTCCAATTAATTATAGAAAAAATAAATTTATATAATTAAAAAATAAATTCAAATTTATATAATTTAATTATATTATTAATACTTTTTATTAAAAGCTAAAGAAATAACCTAATAAGAAATATTAATAAAATACGAATTAATAAAATACTAATTAATAAAATACTAATTAATAAAATACTAATTAATAAAATACTAATTAATAAAATACTATTAATAAAATACTAATTAATAAAATACTAATTAATAAAATACTAATTAATAAAATACTAATTAATAAAATACTATTATAAGCTATTTCTAGAAATCTATTATTTCTAAATAAAGAAAATTTTAAACTAATTAAAGAAAATTATATAATATTTAAATAAAAATTAAAGAAATAAATATTAAATCTAGCTATTTTTATTTCTATAAAACTTAATTATATAACTAAAAAAAAAAGTATTATTAATTAAATCTTTATTTATAAGATTAATAATATACTTAAAGCTTAAAAAAAAGAAACTATTTCTAGTCTAAAGAATTAATAGTTAGAAGAAATAAAGCTTTAATAGTTCTAGAAAATATTACTTTTTATTAGTTTACTAGTAATATATAATATTATTATATAAATATAAAATATTAATATATTAAAATTAGTAAAATTATTATTATTTAGAAATAAAAAATATAATATTATAGTATTAATATATAATTCCTAAATCTACTAAGCCTAATAAAGTTTAGTTTATTTATTAAATTACTTATATAATATAAGATTATATAACTATTATTTATATTTTATTATTTTATAACGTGTGAGAATTAGGCTCGCACTATAGTTCACTGGACCAAAAGACTACAGTATTTACCGCACGGTAAATACGCCTAATTACGGTTAAATGGCTGGATCATAGTCACGTGACAGCCACACGTGACATATTTTTAATTATTTTTAGATTATATAACTGTATTATATAACTATTAATAACTATAATTATACTAATATTAGAACTTTTCTAAAACGCGAAAAATAGTATTTCTTTTCTAATTATATATAAATTTCCTAATCCGATCTAGTATTAGATTTCTTAAATATTTATATATCTATATTACTTTTAAGGTTTTAGTTATATATTAAAGGCTATAGTCCCTTATATATAACTTTCTTTCTTATAATATTCTTTTACTTTATATATCTATTTTTTGCTTTATTTATATTTAATTTATTTCTCTATATTTAATTATATTATATTTATATTAAATAAATACTTAAAAATATTTATTAGCTCTAATTTTATTATAGAATTAATAGAATTTAATTCTTCTTTAATCTATTTAACTTTTATAATTTCTCGTTATTTATATATTTAATAAAGATATATTATATTAATTATTAGATTTTTTTTTTAAATAATACCTAATTTAATAAGGCATTTATATAATAACTTCGAATTTATATAAATGACTAGTAATAGTTTTATTTCTAATATTTTATTAATTATAGATTTAACTAAAGCGCTTATATTAAAGTTATAAGCTATATTATAGAATTCTAAAACTAGAATACTTCTAGTAACCCTCTTATATTTAATAAAGAACTAGTAAATAATATTAGTATATTTAGTTCTATTTACTAGAACTAGAATATATCTAATTTAGAAAAAGAAATTTCTATTATTTATAAATAAAACATTTATAAAAATAATTAAATATAAGAACTTTTTTACTAGTTTTATAAATCTTAGTTTTCTAGTAATATTTTT